TTAAATTGATGATGTATTAAATTGATGAGTGGCTATCAGAATAGGAAGGTGATTGAGATAAACAGTGATTGGGATGACAGTGACAGTAAATGATTTGGTTTAATAATGGATCACATTCTTAGGTAAAATAAATCAGTTACCATCCTTCTTATTGCATTTTAACTATAATGAACTTAAAAGTCCTTAGTGACCTAGAATATAGGCACTTCTCATAGTACATCAATAAATCCATCGTTTACTTCTTCTTCATCTTCTTAGGCCTGAGCTTGTTGCTGTGACCACAAGAGGCCTTTCTGCATCTCGTAGCCTTCAATGAGTTCCTGGCGTAACAAATCCTGCAAATCTGTATCAAATGGGATTCAAGTGAAATCAACTTGTTTCCTTCAGTCATATTTCCACCTCCAAGAAGCATTGGTGCACCAAAAACAACTTCTCCATTCCTGAATGTATCTCCAACCTTCATGCACCTGCTGAATCTGCTTGAAATGTGTACGCCATACGCCTGTTCCAATTCGTCATTTAGCTGCTGTACAGTCGCATCCTTGCTAATTTGCTTAGCAATCGTGTTTCTGTGTGTTTTTACGAATATTTCCATTGGGGATACAAAAATTTGTAAAAAGTGCCAGTCACCTCAAACACATTTTGATAGTTTGTTTATCTTATTTTATGCTAGTTAATGCACCATAATTCAACACAAATCCACTCTCCCAGGGCTGTAGATTTTTGGAGCAATTCATCCCTGATTATGAAATGTGTGAGAAACTACAAAAGGGAGTTCACAGATCGATTCAAGTGGTACTATCCATTGGAGAGAGCAGCACGAATATCCAGGTGCAACGGGATATTGAAACTGCTCTTTCTTGATAAAGAAGTTGTTATTGAAGAAGATGAAATTGAATCAGTCTCAATGGGGATGTACAGTAACACGGTACCAATGAATGATGCTGAAAATATTCTGTACAAAAAGGGAGTACGAATACTGGAAACAATGTATAGGAAGACACAGGAGAAGAGGCAGAAACAGCAGAATGAGATGGTAGAGGAGTTGGAGGAGGAACGAGCTAGGAAATTCAGGAAGAATAATGGAATGGGAGAAGAGGTGGATTTAGTAGAAACCAGGCTAAATAAAATAGAATTAGTGAAGTTAAAAGAAGGGAGAAAACGACCTATGAAATCAGGTAGAAAAAAGAGGAAGAAAGTAAAAATAGAAGAGAGTGAAGGAAAGAGAAAGAGGTGTTGGAATAGGAGACGTGGGGCTGTAGTACTGATAAACACCAGAAGAGATGCTAATGTGACTGAACATGTGTTGAGTGACTACAACAAGGTATCAGACGTAGATAGGCTCATCAATAGGAGCATAATTGACATATTGGCCAATAAGGCGAGTGTGGGGGCAGTTGAGGAGACAGGCGTATTGAGGGCATTGGACATGGATGGGGCTGAAGGAAGTGAAGACGGAAAGGACGACCTGAAGACCAAGGCAAAGAAGATTGAGGAATACATGAAAATACGAAACGAAATAGACAAAAATGTAAGAAGAATTCAGACTGAAATTGAGGAGAGTCTGAAACAGAAGGAGGGAATGAAAGAGACCGATAGGAAGCATTATGACGGAATGGTTGGTGATGGAAGCTATACACCAACGTACATTGACATCAGTGAGGAAGATGTCCACAAATTCATGAAATACGAGGAAGCAGTCATCAACTATGGAGACAGGTATCTAGAGAAGAGGATTCAGTCTCAAATTGAGCCAAAAGAGTGTAAAATAGACGACTATCTTAGTGAAGTAGAAGAACCTAAAAATATACCAAAAAAGCGTGGGAGACCACGGACAAAGAAGAAGCATGATGAAATATGCATAACTAACACACATGAAATAGAATCACGAGTAGATAGACGAATTAAGTCGAGAATAAAGCATAAACAGGTGACTAAGAGCAAGAAGATGGCACCACGAGTCAAAATAAGCATAGGAGGAAGCAGAATGATTGAAAGTAGTTTGACTAAAACAGTAAGGCCCATTTCAAGGGCTGTTAAAAAAACACCCATGAAATACGAGAGATTGGAAGAGGAGAAAACGAAGAATGTCGACGATGACCTGGATGTTTGCAGAATAGATACGGATTGCAACGGAAGCACAGAGGAGTCATTTGAGATTAGCGAGATAGAGGAGCCACCTAGCAAAGTAGGGAGGTATGAAATGGAACAAAAGAGTTCGAGACCAAAACGAGGTGATGAACATGCCTCATTTGTAGCCAAGAACCTGGCTAGCAGTAGTCCAAGGAAGACGAGATTAGAAATTGAAACAAGCGAAAGCAGCTGTGTTGTGATTGAGGGAGTTGGATACGATGAAATTAGTGGGGTAAAAAAGTGTGAGGATTCTGGGGGAGTCAGGTTGGAGAAATCATCAACTGTCACTGAGGATGAATCAGCCAAAGTGTTACCGAAAATGGATCCTGTTGATTCTGATACACATTCTGTTGTTGAAGTGGTAAAGGGAATACTTGAAAGTAGTCATTCTAACAAAGGTGCTGATAACAGTCAACCTAGTGAAGTCACTGGTTCATTCTGGGGATACAGTGAATCAGATCAGAATAATCAGAGTAGTAGAAATAGTACGAAATCATCAAATTCTAAATCAGTTGATGAGTGCACTAAGATGAATGAAACCAGTCGAACTCATTTTGACAAACTGATCAAAAATATGCACCAAAACAATGAGAAACACTCTCAGGTCCTAACAAATGTCTGTTTGTGCTACAGTATGGTATCACCTGAATACGAAATCACCAGGCAGAATGACGTATTCATGTGTGAAGCACTCTTCTACGAATCAAAGTTCAATAGCAGCTACGAGTACACGAAGAAGGAAGCAAAGGAGGCTGTAGCCAAACTGATTCTGGAATACATGAATGATAATTGGGAGAGTGTGATTGAATTGGGAGAGAAGATGAAGAAGGACGCCATTGGTGGAGTTCATTCAAATTGATTAGAAAATGGTGCTGAGGCAGATACAAGCACCTGATAAAATAAACAACACATATTATCACTCTATTGAATAGACTCCCAATCTATTCTATTATTGTCTCCCTTTAATCTGTGCTTCTATTTCGTCCAAATGCCTCACTATGAACTCATCCAATACGTTGTAATACGCATAAACATCTGGATTATGCTTAATTGCCCTGGTTGTGGGCTGAATGAATTCCATATCCACCCTGCTCTCCTTCTCGTCCATCTTCTGCTTCTTTGCTGGCTCAATACGAATTGAACTCTCCTCAGCAGTGGCTCTCAGTAGCCCATCTGTCCTCTTCACAAACTCAATCTTGTAATTCATCATCGTATCCCACACAAACTTAATTCGTATGAATCCTGTTCCAAATGTCGCATTGTCAAGTTGAGACACCGCCTTCCTTGCGTCCCTGAAGTCGTAGAATTCCATGATCTTCTGCTGCGGCTTGCTCAGCCTGATGTCCTTGATCTCCCCAAACTGCTGCATGTACTTGATCACCATCTGATCACTACAGTCGAAGTCGACGTTCTTGAAGTAGACTATCACAGATGACTGGTTGTTCTTGAACTGCACCTCCTCGTTCCCCTTCTGCATCTCGTTTCTTGATATCGTGAACGTAAACTCCAATTCGCTGAATGAGTCGCCTGAGTTCTCCTCTACGCCCTTGATCTCCCTCCTTGAACGAGGGTCTCTGAATTTCTGATAAAATGAAATTGAGTCACGGATATCGAAGAACGTGATGAATAAGTTCATGAAGTTGGATATTGTGTAGTGTTCATAAATGATTTGCTCTGGAAGCACCTGCTTGAATCTTCTGAACTCGTCTTCGTTCCTGAAGTTGGTCACAAGAATTGTCCTCAGAGAAGGCAAGTTTTTTATAGGCATTGGGGTTGATTCGTATCAAAATTTACCCAGGTGGGGTAGTGAAGTGGTTGTGACCGTTAGTCATGCACTTTGATAGCTGGATTATGAAGACAATTGTTTGTTTTTTGTCTCAGGGTGTTTGGAGATACTGCCTGAATACGAATAACAAATGATTGGCACCGATGAAGTGATTACGATTCTGAATGCACTATCGACGTGTCTGACGATGCTTCCTACCCTCATTGGCGTTGGAATTGGACTGAATCTCGCCACAGAGGGCATCTGCAAGTCAGTTGAATTCGACCTAGACCTGACATTCTCAATTATGCCAATGGCATTTACGTCTGCGCCTGCAATCTACTCACTGCTTCTCTACTTCTACATGGCATCCAAGTCGCCTAAGACGCTGATTGGCGCAATTCAATGCCTTGGTGGCTGTGCTCTACAAGGATTCGCATGTGCCTTCTGTGGATACGTGATGGGCGGAATAGCCAAGGACGCAGCCATTGCCCGTGCGAAACAGAAGAAGTTCACGTCAAGCTACTTCTTGCTGCTGATATTTGGGGAGTTGATTGGGCTTCTTTCACTGGTCTTAGGAATGTTGATTCTGTCTAAGGCAAAATAGGGTATATGTACTAGATTAGTTGGGGTTAATTGACTGAATAAATGATATCAATATGTAGCCTATTTCTTTAATAATACCATTCAAACCGTAATCAGGTTAAAGAATCTCCTTTTTATGGCTGAATCCACGTATCGTGGTAGAGTAGTCCATGCAATCATAAAGATTGGTCCTGGCTTCTCATTCAACCTGTTAAATTGCCCCAGTACCTCAGCTAGAATTGATCCAATCAATCCACTTGAATTCTCTCCCTCAATTCTTTTCTTGAATATCATTTGACACTCACTAAATACAGTGATACTGGCATTATACGGATCCTTTTCCTCAAGCATCTGGCTGAATAGACGCTTTATATTTTCTTCTGCCTCTCCGAAATAGATACCTGTTATATCAAACAGGCCTATAGTGACTTTTGACACCATCACTTCATCATTTGAAATTGAATCATCATCCCACTTCACCTTGTCTAAGTCCTTATCTTCATCACGGAACTTCTTCATCTGATTCAGTCTCTTGTTTACTCCTGATACAATTTCATCAACAGTACGTTCTAGTTCCCGTTTGTTATCACCAACCACCAAATAGTGCATGTCTTCTGACTTAAACAGCTTCTGTATTTGTTCTACCTTCATGGTGTTGAAGAAATGCACTCTTTTGCAGATTTCGTCAACAGCCATCTTGACCTGGTCTTTTGCCCTATCAGGAACAAGGTGTAATGAACGAGGGAAGTACTTTTCCTCGTTAAACCTCTTCTCCTTATCCTTTGCTTTCTTTTGCTTTCGCTCTTTTTCAATGAGATCCACACTCTTTTCCAGTTTCTCTTTTAATGTTATAACTTGCCATTTGACCAGCAAATGAAATGCCCGCCTGTATAGGAGCAATGCAAGCATTATACCCAAAACAGCAGCAATAAGCAGACTCGCAAACATACCGTACTCTTTCTTAACGGTCTTCAGGTGCTTCTTGAAACGAAGAATTAGTTTTGAGTTCATTAAGGGGTAATAAAGAGTATTACCTATTGGGTTTTTACGTTATATTTGATTGAAATTTTTATTGGATCATTAGAAATAGAATTGTTAGATGTAATGTTTACTGATGTTTTATTGTCTCTGTTTGAGATTCAAGAAAAACGGTTTCTTATACCCAGCTACAAAAATATTTAGACACATATAGGATATTTGGTATGTTTCTGATTGTTCTTGTTTGTATTTTTCTGATTCAAATATGTGAAACACTGTGGACGATACGTCCCCTCGTAAGTCTTAAAACCAAACGATCACAAAACCTCTCATAGTTTGACAGATCAGTTAGGCTGCTAAAATTGAGTTGTTAAAAAAGACTGAAACGAGGGTATTTTACATCTGAAGACAAATAGGTGAGATGTTAATTGATAAGAAACAAGTATAAATAAAGGAAAAATATGAGACTCTGTTACAAACTGAACCTTTAACATTACACATCACAGGTGTTGGGTGTAGCATTTACTGATGATTCATTGTCCATAATTGGGGTTTAGGGTAAACTATTTCTTATACACTCCGTTGCAAAAGTTTGTTGACTTTCTGTTTAATCTTCTGTACATTGATGGTAACCGTAATACACTTCCTGTTTGGTATTTATAAGACGAAACTGCTTATTTAGGCACGTTGAATTGTATCCTAACCTTCTTGGACGATCACTTTCAAGAAATTATTTTGATCGACTTTTTTGTATTCATTATGAACCTTTATGACAATATATTAGTCATTTCCTCACTGGGATTATGTTTGATAAGTTAATAGTCCTGTTGAGTACCCCAATACCTCATCTACTCCACACTTACTGCTCTTTTTGTCTGTTTGAACTAAGGCAATATTTTTTTAGTAAATCAAATAGTGATCAGCAGAATACATGTACCCAAAAGGTATTCTTTTAATTAGCTTAACATAGTCAATAGAGATTATTATAATATCAATAGATCCCAAATAGAGCTTACCTGAAATTGTTAGACAGAATAAACAATATTTAAATTTTATTCCATTATTGAGGTTGATAAAATCTTCTTACTCATCAATTATATGCGGGTTGTGCTGCACATTATCATTTTTAAGCAGTTTAAACCTTTTCACATCATTTCAGATGTTTTCCTTTCTTTATACAGTTCAATTAGCATGTTTTTATGTGATCGTTTTTGAGCTTAAGGTTTTTTTTGTCATTTAATAGTGTTAACACAAGCATTATAATTCATTTAGAGCTGCTCACACCTACTACAACAGAATAAACATTCACTTTATATATATTTACGTATGATTCTCATATCATACCTCTCTTGATCATGTTTTTTTTAGAGAAACGAACCTGATCATTAAATGAAATATTTATTCCAACAGCCTTTTTGAGTGCTCAGAACATACAAAGGCATCCTTAACAAGTTTATAGCGTCTATAACATACGTTCTAGCTATTTATATGTTCGTGTCGTGGTAAATCATTATGAAATTGTGTTTCACTTTGATCAATATTAAAGTGATCTCTTGTTCAAGCTTGAGAAAAGATTTTCACACCTGATATGTTTTTAGACACGATAAACCTTAAAACAAGTGTAGAACCCTGTGTCTGTTTGTTAATATTGCTGTTATAGCGTTGTCCACAAACTTTTGCAACAAGAATTTAAATCATTTTTGGAAATTAGTCTCTATCTGTTCAACCACCAAACCATCTGAGTTCAGATAAAAAGAAACAGCAAAGAGCAACGCAAAAAGTGTATCGTGTAGCATAAGAGCCGTAAAAGAGAGTATATCAAGAAGTTTATGGCTGTCCACAAACTTTTGCAACAGAGTGTATTTATTCGACTTCAGTTATGAATTTGTGTCTAAGAAGCATCTCTGGTCTCCATCTCTTAGTTTCATCAATTTCTAGACAACAATCTAGAAAGTTCTCAATCAGTGGGTTTGGTTTTTCTGGCTTTGCGTACCTGAATTTGGCTCGCTTGATGTAGTTACTTCTGTTATTGAGTCTATTTCCAAAATAATCATAAACGTTATTAGAATACATCGTAGTCTTTTCGCTCTTTCTTTTTTCAGGCCAAATCAGAGGACAAATTACGTGAAGTCCAAGGTGCCAAATATCACTAGTCATCCCCACTCTCTTATCCATTAGTAGCTCAGGTGGCATGAGCCATATTGGAGCAAATCTAACCACTAATGTTCCAGTTCTTGCAACCACTGCAATATCAAAATCAATTATTTTTGTAACGTATTTTCCATCTACCTTTTTCTGCATCAAATTGGCTAGTTTAAGGTCATTGTGGATAATGCGTCTTGACTGAAGGTAAACTAATCCATTCAGAATATCTTTTGCTATTCTCTGAATTGCATAATAGTCGCCAGAATATTTTGATTCATCTATTTTCTCCAGTTTCTCAGTCAGCATCACTACAATCAGTTTTCTCCTTAATCCTGCTTCGAATGAATAATGGTGATGCATCTTGATCACGTTTGGATGATCTAAATCCTTCATTATGTCACATTCTGTTCCTCCGTTTAGCTCCATTGGTGTGTTTATCTTCAGACAATATTTATCACTAATATAAATTTTGGTCTTCTCTGTATTATAAACCCTCTCGTATCCTAGCTTTAGCATGTATTCCTGGATTTTACCATGTTTGAATTGGCGGAATAATGATTCAATCGTTTTGGCCGTTTTTATGAAGTTATCTCTGATAAATAGATCATTTGGATTAGCAGGCGGTGGCTTGGCAGCTTCTGTATATTTTGCTAATGATGCTATTGCTCCAAGTGGTTTTGTTCCTAGTGGATTATATCTTAGTGATGGTTTCACTGCTGGTAATTTTGGTCTATTTGGATTTGCTGCTGGCAATGACAATCCTACTGTAGGTGGACCAGGTTTTGTTGCTGGCAGTCCTTTCTGTGTTGGATTTGGTAAAAACATCGATGTCTGCTGTAGTGATGGTTTGGCGATAGGATGGTGTATTGGTTTTCGTAGTTTTGGCGGTGTAGATACTTGCTTTGGTGACACATATGGTTCTTCTGTTAGTATTGGTTTGTGACTAGGTGGTGTTTTTTGTCTTATTGGTGATCTGGATTTTGGCGGTGTTTTTTGTTTTATCGGTGATAAAGGAGTGACTCCTGGTGAAATATTCTCTTGAGTCTCCATATGTACTTCCTCAGGAGTTTCGAAATCAGGCGTTGGTAATTTAAGAGTTGTCGTTGTTCTGGATGTTGAGGATTCGGATGTTGATAATTCAGGTGTTGTCGTTCTTCTGTATGTTAATTTAGGAGGTGTGTGATCTGAGGTTTTTGGTTGTATTTCTCTTGTGGTGCTTTTGATTGTTGTTTTTTTATCATCCTTAATGATATATAGAAATATGATCACAAATGCTACCAATATGCACAGCATTAGCTCAAATATAAGCACTTTTTTTAAAAGTTTTCTCTTCGTATTTTCTCTTGTAATCATAAAAGGGTTAGTTTATAATAGTTAATACAACCAGGTAATGATGAGACTTTACTCAATCATATTAGCCTGTTGGCGCCTGTACCGCTCTTCTGGCGCGCACACTTGTTGCTACTGTAATGTTACTCATACGCTGGGTAATGATTCGCATTTTCTTTTTTATACCTCACTGTCAAATCCATCATTGATCAAACTAGTGAGTAAACTTTTAAAAAGACGGTAAATACGTCTGTCCACCCCTTCTTTAAAGGTACCTGTTAAAGCTTGTTTCCTCAGTGACGTCGGGATCCAGAGGTGTCAGACACCATGACACCTCTTCAGAAGATTTAATGTAAATACTCTTAGCTTGGTCTTTCTTAGCTATATTCATTTATTGAAATACCCCCTCTGCATATTTTCCTTAAATAGTCAGTGTCATAGTCAGGGTATATGATTATACTCCTTGTTCACTGAACATTTTCGTGATTCTTTACATAAACTAGTCTGATTGATCATCTGGTGCTAGTGGACCAGGTACTTTGAATCTTATCTGTGGTCCGATCGTCCACACTCTTCCTGCCTTAGAGCAGCTTTCTGGAGGCTCTGCGAAGAGTATTTCTGCATCTTCCAGAGTGTACGGTTTAATGTCATTCCCGGCGGCTCTAATCTTCAGGTCGGACGTCATGTTGATGATTGTATAAGTTCCAAGCCTATGGATTTTGGTGATTCTAAATGAGTGCGAGAATCTTTCATCAAATTTGTTTTCCCTGGTTCTATTGCAATATAGGACTGTTTGTCCCATCCACAAATCATCATTTCGTGCTATGCCCCTATTTGCTTCATTTAGTTGCACCAGGCGCTCATCGTTTCTTTCTTGAGTATTTTGCACATTCTTCATGATTGCCTTGCGTCTCTTTTCAGCTTGTCCTAGATCCGTGTCCTCCTTGGTGAGGGTGAGTCCAGACAAAAGTTCATATGGAGACTTTTTGAATCTCTGAATAGGGACAGTGCGTTGGGAGAAGAGAGCCAACTCTAGGGTGTCATTCCATTGCTCATTATTCTCCAGAAGTTTTACTAATATGAGTATTAGGTTACTGTCGTAACCGGGCCAAGGGGTAGAATAAGGGGAATCTTGTATTTGGTGATTTCGCTCCTGCTTGTCTCTCCCCCATTCTGAACCTTCCTGGTTCTCCTGTTTGCGGTTCTCTCTCCTGATCACTGCGAGACTTATCACCACCTGGGAGTCCTCTCCCAAGTCCTCGCTCCTTACTTACTTTTCCAGCATCATTTGGATCTTGGACATCATGTCCATCCCAGCTGTCTCTCACTCCATGATCACCACGATCTCCGCGACTCCTGGTTCCTTACGGCTCTCCTTCTGGCCGCCAATCACATCTTGTAGCTCTTTCGCCTGCGCTTTTCACCAGTCGTTTTTCCAACTCTCTGGGGACATCTGCCTCTCTCTCACGGTCTACTTCTCCTGTAATGATGGTTGATTTTAATCAGGTAAATGTTGCTAAATTTTCTGTTGTCGGATTCTTAAATCACGACAGGCTACCATTAATACGCTCTATCTTCTCATTGCTACAGGGTGCGTGTGATGATGCACATTTGAACCTTGATTGCCATTGCTGCACCGCCTCCTTCACTACTTCGGCAGTGAACTCGCGTCCACAGTCAGCACGAATCTCGGAAGGAGTACCGTATTGAGTAAAAACCTGAGAAATCAAAGATTTAACAACCATCCCCTTAATCTTACAGTTGATTGCTCTTCCTTCTACGAAACTGGTTGCATAATCAGAGCATAAAACAATGAAAGGGTTTCCATGCTGTGTTCTAGGGAGAGGCCCCATGCAGTCTATTCCGATTAACCCAAAGAGTTCGTGTCGAAAAATTAGGGAGTACTTTGTGCTGCTTTGGTTATTCTACTCTGCACAAGTTTGGCATCCCCTGAAGAATTGAATGGCATCGCGCATTTTGATGTCCTTGCGACTTACTTCCTTACACCGTACAAATGTAACATTTGCGCAAACATGTCCAGTGGTTAGATGAGCTTCCTGGATCACACGTGTTAAATCAGGTTCTACTGTGATTTATTGGATCAAGACCCCTTCCCTGCTCAGGAAGTCAGCAACCCGATTGTCTTTCCTTGCAATGTGGGTAATAGTGAAATCAAATTGGTTCAGATGCAGCCGCCACCGCACCAGCTTACCCCTCGGGACCTTGAGGGAGCGAAATTGCTGCAGTGGCTTATGTTTGGTTCTCAGCTCAAATCGACCGAATAGGTAGTGGGAATGTTTGCAGATGATGTAGATCATAGCTAGCATTTCTAAACAAATGTTGACCAGTTCCCTTCCCTTCTTTTAAGGTTATACTAACGTATCTACGGTAAGTTCCCTGCCTTCAACTTTCTGTTTCAGAACTCCTCCAATGCCGGTCCCATGACATAGGTCTCTAAGATGAACGGACGAGACATATCAGGTAGTATCAAGTGGTGTAACCTGAGACCACCAAGGATTTCCTCTAAAAACTTACCCCATTGGTATGGTTGGATTTGCTATAAGATGCATTAGAACGTTTCATTCAGAGTTAAGTATTCATTTATGATACGTTTCTTATATCCTTAATGTGAAACGTATGTTTAATTGTGTTTCGGATTATCATATCCAACAGTACGAACCTCATTTTGAATGCTTCCACAATCATCTCAAAACTTTTTCCTAAGTGAGACTGAACCCACGTTTTCGCTTCACATTTCATTGCAAGTTCGAACGCCACCTTTCTTTCCTCCCCCTTAAAAACTTGTTCATCGCAATAAGCGAATATACGTTCCAGGAAATTTTCAGAATCTTGTCTCTTCGCTGACTCAAATTCGTAAGGAGTCATTAGGCTTTTTTGCAACATCGCCAAATTATTGGGTGTGGCATTTACTGATGGTTCATTGTCTATAATTGGGGTTCAGGGTAAACCATTTCTTGTATAGTCCTTTTGATGGGTTTGACAATTTTCCTGATATCAATTCAGCTATCCGACAACAGGTTTAATACATTCACTAACTGTCACACATGACATTGTTTACTTACAAGTTGATATGTCGATAAACAAAGGTATAAAAGTAAATGAACAAACGGAACCCATCCGGGAGCCATGATGAACAATCTAGTAAACAGTCACTCACATACATCACTCATATTGTATTATAGACCAAGACACGCCCTACCGGCCGATCATGACACTAAGAAACAAAGTTCTAGATTTGATTTGTTGCATACTAGAACATAATCACAGATTAAGATAGCATAATAGTGTAGAACATACATGATCATTAACATTGAAGTTGATCTGAAATGAAGTTCCTGTATGTAAAAGGAAGTTTTTAAATACAAATCTATCGTTTTCAAGCTCATCACCTGCTCCGACACAATATGTAACATATTTCTTTGATAATACCATTCAAACCGTAATCAGGTTAAAGAACCTTCTTTTTATGGCTGAATCCACGTATCGTGGTAGAGTAGTCCATGCAATCATAAAGATTGGTCCTGGCTTCTCATTCAACCTGTTAAATTGCCCCAGTACCTCAGCTAGAATCGATCCAATCAATCCACTTGAATTCTCTCCCTCAATTCTTTTCTTGAATATCATTTGACACTCACTAAATACAGTGATACTGGCATTATACGGATCCTTTTCCTCAAGCATCTGGCTGAATAGACGCTTTATATTTTCTTCTGCCTCGCCAAAATAGATACCTGTTATATCAAACAGACGTATGTTAATTCGTGAAACCATCACGACGTCACTTGTAGTGAAATAACCATCCCAGTTCACTGTATTAAAGTCCTTCTTTTCACCACGGAACTTCTTCATCTGATTCAGTCTCTTGTTTACTCCTGATACAATTCCATTAACAGTACGTTCCAGTTCATCTTTGTTTTCTCCAACTACCAAATAGTGCATGTCTTCTGACTTAAACAGCTTCTGTATCTGTTCTACCTTCATGGTGTTGAAGAAATGCACTCTTTTGCAGATCTCAGTAATAGCCATCTCGACCTGATCTTTTGCACTATCAGGAACACCTCCAAATGGAGGAAGAAGAAATTTGTCTGTATCAAACTTCTTCTCCTTCTCCTTTGCTTTCTTTTCCTTTCGCTGTTTCTCAACGAGATCCACATTCTTTTCAAATGCTTCTCTCAATGATTTAACTTTTACATTGACGATGTTATTAAATGCCCTCCTGTATAGGAACAATGCAAGCAGTATACCCAATACAGCAGCAATAAGCAGACTCGCGAACATGCCATACTCTTTCTTAATGGTCTTCAGATGTTTTCTGAAGTTAAAACTTCCTTTTGAATCCATTAAGGGGAGATTAAAATTTATCACCAAATAATTTTACGTTTTGTTACTCGTTGTAGGCGAATACTTTGATACGTATTAAAAAGGAACCTAAAAGTGTTAATGAGTGACATATTGTTCTTTATTGATAGGTGTCAAGGCGCAGACTCCAGGAATCACTCTACTGATAGCATCTTTCCCTTTATATTTAATTAGGGTTTCCCCTATAACCTGATGATAGATTACGTATAATTAAATATGTTTTCCAGCAGGAATGTGAATTAACTACACAATCAATAAATGGAAGAAAGGAGAATTCTAAACTTATTAAGGGCCAATAAGGTATTAAAAAACATTAATCACAATACTGATTTATTTCATGCCTTCTTGTGTTGTTTCTTCCTTTTTGCCAGATACATGTCGTGTTTCATCCTGCGATCAAGTCGTAGGACGTGTCCTTGGCCTCGTGGTATCTTGGAATGCCCACCTTTCTGGTTTGCGAAAACAAGTCGCCTCTTCTTCCTCTGCTTCCTGAATTCCCCTCTTAGAATCTTCTTATAGAGAGTTGCCTCTTCCTGCTCGTCCTCAATCTCAATCTCATTCATTTTCTTGCTACTTCGTCTCAATGCTCGTCTTTTCTTCCTTCCCATTGCCTCCAATTCCTTCCTGCTAATTCGTTGCCTAACTACCCCTCTTCTTGCTCCTCGCTCTTCACCTGGCAAACACACATCGTCTGAATCAATCAGGTGCCTATCAACGGTGCTCTCCTTGAACTGTTCTGGATTCTCCTTCAACATTGCAAGACACTCCAATTCCGACTCATTCAGGGAGTAGTCGGTGGAACAGCTGCTTTCATCGTTGATTATTGCTTCATCCTCTCCTGGTCCACTCTCACATGAGTCCATTTCTGCAAATTCATTCTTCCTCCTCAATGCCACCTCGTCCATTTTAAATACCCTGTCATCGTAGAATCCACTCTTCCTCTCCTTCTTCTTATTCTGTCTCTCTATTTCTTCCTCCAGTTTCACCAAAACATCCTCATCCCCATCACTCAACTCATCCTTCTTATCCTTTCTACTAAACCTGATTTCAAACTTACTTGCTACCAATCCATCACATTCTAGTTTCCCACTTTTGGTCATTCTGATCACCTTCTGTCTCACCCTAATCATCTGTCTCATCTCCTTTGGTCCCACCAGCTTCAGATCCCTGCAATTTGCCCTAAATTCATCATCAAATAGCGCTGACTCAAAATCAACCAAAAATGACCCCGTGTTCTGGAACAGTTGAATGGGATTGTTCCCTACGATCCAGTCTGAAAGAAGGGTACTTTTATAAATATTCGTATCCTCCTCTATTTCAGCAAAAAGGTGGTTTGAGTCGAAGTTGCGAACATCGATCTCCTCTGGATTCTTGAACTCCCTACAAACTGCAAATATCTCAGCTGACTCGTCTCGTGAGCTCATTGGCTTCGTGACATTCACGCGACCAAACAGCTCCCCCAGCAAATTGGTGATTTTGGTAAAGTTCTCAGATCGATGAATTTTGGTCACAAATGTCCCACCATCAGCCAGAAACTCAGTTGCAAGACGCAAGGCAGCCAAAACCAGGTCATTCTGAACGAATACGTCTCTCTCGCGACTCGTTCCGAAGTTCGGTGCCCCGTCGTGGACGAATACGTCCGCCTTGTGGCCATCGAGGCGACAGATGAGCTCCCTCCTGCATTCTGCGGTCGTTATATCCGCTCTAAACGTCTCACAGTCTCCAATTCGCTCAATTGGATCCAAATCGACCCCAATTATCTTTCTGGTAGGCGGCATTTCTTGCATGAGAATCTGAAGCCATCCTCCTGGAGCAGCACAGAGGTCGACTGCAACTCGACAGTCACCCAGGAAGCCGTACTTCTTGTTTATTTCAAGCAGTTTGAAGGCAGATCGAGCCCTGTACCCTCGCTCCTTGGCCATCAAGTAGTATTTATCAATTCGCTGTTTCTTGTTCCCAGCCATTGGGCAAAAAGTGTGAAAAAAGATCCCTGATGACTGGTGGAAATAGAAAGACGCTGAACATCAACAGAAGGACACAGGACGCATTCTACAGGTACAAAATGCAAGGAGTTCAGACGAAAGTGGAGTCTGGGAGGACTACGATTACGAATTTGGAGGAAATAGGAAGAGCACTTCGTAGAGAGCCAGGACACATTCTGAGGTACCTGGGAGTGACACTGGGATGCAGCACGAAGGTGGTGGAGACGAAATACACCGTTGCAGGCGCATTTGACGAGACAAAGTTGCAAGGGGCAATTTACGATTTCATAGACCAATTTGTTTTATGCAAGGAATGTGGAAACCCAGAAACCAAATTTGTGGTTGAAAAAGAGGGGTTGAGCAGGGCTTGTTCGAGTTGTGGGGCGACTGTGGTTCAGGCTGACCACAAAATAAGTAGCACAATTATCAGGGAGATTGGAAGTGAGAGATTTGTAGACAGAAATTATGAGAAGGAGTTAAACAAGAATGCTGGTAAGTCATTTGATGAACTATTTGTGGGAATGGGGTATAAGGAGATGAATGACTATAAGGATGAGTTTGCAAAAAAGACCATTGATCAGATTCTGATCAATATTGAGAATATGCTGGAGACTGAGGAGAGGGAGGAATCGACCAGAAAGTACCTGAAGGAAGTGATCAAAATGGGGTATGGAATTGATGAGATTGAGGAGTACTTCAGTAGGCCAAAAAGAGACAAGAAGAGGAATGGGCTGATTAAGAAGGGTGCTAAGAAGTTTGTGGAGTCGTTTGAAAACTGATTTGAACACAATTTGCAACTTAAAAAAGAAAGCCCCTATGACCAATTCAGATAGAAATACTCAAAGAATAAATCTGGCGGATTTGGAGCACACAAGCAACCCAGGAAGAAAGGCAAGTCGAATTGAGCTACGTCTGCTACGAGATGCGTACAGTCTGACCAGGAACGAGGAGACCAAGGCAGAATCAACATATCCAGATATAAGTTTAAAGAGAGTCACTGCTTACTGTACGGCTGACTCGTACGACTTAAAGGGGCTCTACAGGTTCTTCAAGCAGAGCAAGAAGAGCGAGAAGGTGCTCATGTTCTTCGGAGAGTGCCTCTACGTGCGATGCGACGAGTGCGACATCTACTTTCTTGACTACGGCGTGGTCGTATCCTGGGGCCTAGAGGAGAACCAGGAGCAGAGTCTCCTGAACGTGACCAGGACGTTCGAGAAGACGCCGTACGAGTACAAGAGTGTCGAAACAGAGAGCTTTCTCTATGGCGTATCTGACGTATCCAAAATAGGCAATGATAAAATATACATAAAAGACGATAATTTCACTACCAAAATGGTGCTGAGTACCGCAATAGCGCAATCTGTGAAATTGGACTATTTTGAGGAGCTGGTGGAGTACACGATTGAGATGGTGAAGGATCTCCCTGAGGAGGTTGAGAAGGAGGGAAACATCGGCCGAACCAGAAACGAGCTGTTCAAAATCATGGGCAAATTGCACAAGCTGAGTTTCGACCTGAATCTGGCGTCGAACATCCTCGATGAGCCAGACCTGATATGGCACTTTGAGTCGTACAGCCCGATGTACGAGACGTGTCTGCGGTACCTGGACATCAAGTCGCGAACTGACTTGCTCAACAAGAGGTGCACCATCATCCACGGAATCCTTGATATTCTGAATTCAAATATCACCACCCACAACTCAGAGACACTTGAGAAGCGAATGTCGTACATTCTCCAGGTCAGTGCTGGTCTCGGTGGACTCCAATGCATTCTGCTGGGGCTGATGGTCTACTTTCTTTCCAAAAAGTGATATCAGTAAAATAGTCGCCTATTTTGTTTCATACCCTGATTACACAGTTGAATATTCTGCATATCATTCCTATGACCCTCTCTTTCCAGAAGCACCTTACGCCTTCCTCCTCGCTGATTGGAACTCGACTGAAACTCAGCTCCACCTTCGTGCTCTCCCCTGCCCGCCTGAACTCAGCCACCACGTCAGAATGCTCCTTCCAGTCACTGAGCCTGAATTTCATTTTCACCTGATTCCCCCCTACTGAAATATCCTCCAATTTCCCATTTCCAATTTCAATCAGCCCATTCCCACTGTTTCCACCCATGCTCCACATTCCAATCAGCCCATCATCTGAGAATGCCCTAATCATGTTTGATTCACTCGCATTCACAAAGAGACTCATCTCCATCTCAGTCATCTTCGTCACATTCCTGTTTTCAGTCACCTTCTGAATCACCCCTGTTCTGCTTTCAGTCGTATCCATTGCCACTGGTGCAAACTTCAGAAATGCCCTACACTCCAAGTCCTTGATCCTGTTCACCAGCCACTTCGTCTTCTTGTTCTCGTAGACCGTGCTGAACGAGTCGTAGTCCAACTCGTGGAACTCGCCACTCTTCCTATCGGTGTATTTCGTCCTGACGTTGTTGATGATTTGCGCCTTGTTCATTCGCATGAATAGCTCGGTGTGGACGTCGATGTCGACCACTTCGTAGCCAGAAAGAAGCTTAAGCACCTCCTCCCTCATCCACGTTGACGCAGATGCACTGTGGTTGTGGTAGTGTCTCCTCATTGGGCCCGATTTCTGGTGGTTTTTTGTAAATTTTTGCAGCCCACAATGGCGATTTCTTCATCAACCAATTCTGGTGCAATTCACTCTCAGGAGACAAAGACGAAGCCAAAAAGGCGATTTGTGCTGAAGGCAGTCGAGGATGCTGCTCCTGAGACTGCCGTGGCAGATGGAGGCCCAGGAAGCAGGGAGACAGAGGCAGAGTCGAGAAACGAGGCCAAAACAAAGGCAGTGGCACCGAAACACGTGCGAAGCAGCACGACGGTGGAAACGAGGAGGACTGTGACGAAGAAGGAGAACGTGGTGCTCAGAGCTGTCTCTGAATTGGAGCAGATCGTCCTGCTCAACACGCTCGAGAACGAGTTGAACACTTTCACGTTTGAGACGGTCAGAGACGAAATAGAGGCAGTGGTGGAGTTGAACCAGACTGAGGAGATTGGGCTCAATTTGATAGGGCGAATGCGCCAGTCCACGATGGGGGAGAAGTTGAAGACGATGAAGGAGAAGAAGCATTCGCAACTGGAATTGGCCAAGTTGCAGTTCAACAAGGTCACCCTCGACAAAGTGCCTCTTTTTGCGAGGGAGCTGCTTGCCCTGAAACTGGAGAAGATCGAGGAGGTGAAGGAGCTGGTTGGATTCGTCTTTGGGAAGGTCATCGTGGAGAAGAACTTCCTGGAGACGTACACGAGGCTCATTCTGATTCTGAAGAAGGATTTCAGGTGCTCAGAGGAGAAGAGTCTCCAAAGGGAGCAGACGTGCTTCTTTGGAACACTGCTGAAGCTGATGATGAGGAAGATCGAGGAGGAGCACTCGTTCAACAGGGACGTGGTTGTGGCACAGGCTGGGAAGACGGCAGCAGAAGCTGAGGCTGAGATCGAGAATGCAGAGCTGAACAGGAAGATGAAGAGGAATCAGGCACTGGGGTCAGTCGCATTTTGTACAACTCTTTATACAAATAATGTAACAGGGTCAAGTAACATTAAGAAGGTGGCAGAAGTGTTGATGCGCATGAAGTCATCTGAAACAGTAGAAATGTTATGTGAGATGCTGGTACATGGGGGAGTACAGCTGTCAAAGGCACAGCCAAAGCTATTTGGGTCAATATGCGACTTCGTGAAGAGAAATGACACATTTGGACCAAGACTGGAAATAATAGTAGAAAAGACACTGGAGAGAATGAATCAGCATATTGCAGCAAGCAAGAAGGCAGCAAGCAGTGGGAATGTGTATGCGGGGATGTTTGATTCAGTTGAAGAGAAATTAGAAAACAAACAAATTTCAGAGTCACAGCGCATAAACAACTTCTTTGATGAGAGGCTGCTTCCAGTCCTCGTTGTCTGCCACGACGAGTACGATTTGGAGGAAGCAAGTGACATTGTGGTCGCAGAAATAGCCAACTACAAGAAGGATGCGTTCACAACGGACTATTTTGTTACAGCAATTTCCAGTACAAAATACTTCAGGAAAATGGTTGATTTGTACCAGCATTATCTGGTAGGGGTGTTGGAGGAGTGTCTGTATGACAATCTGGAGCAGATTAAGGAGAATCTGCCCACCTACTACGTAGACTACGCATGTAGTAAAACACTATATCCAGAATTGCTCTGCTATCTGGCTGGAATCAATCAGGTAACCAGGAAGGAATTCATGAAACTGCAGGTGCCAGGATACGAGACGCGAATCAGGGAATTGGTTGTTGATTGGAAGAAGAGCGGAGACGAGAGACTCGGAGTCGTCTTCGATGAGTCCGAAATAGATAGAATACTGAAAGAGTGAGATAGAATGGAAATAGAGTAAATTGGTGTGATATTCGATAACGTTATTTGTTTGTTGATTCTAATAATTGGCGAGGTGGTATTTTAGCCCTCTTGGCGCAATGGATAGCGCGTGTGACTTCTAATCACGAGGTTATGGGTTCGAATCCCATAGTGGGTGTTTTTTGATCCTGAATTTACTCATCCATCAAATCAGCCAAGTTGTCCACTATTTTCACCCTGCTCATCTGCAGCCTGCTTTCAACAGTCGCCCTGTCCTGGTGACTCATGTTCTGGTACTCCAAGAGCACATTCTTCTGATAGACCATTTCAGGCACATTCGTCAGTAACTCGTTCATTTCCATACAGTCTTCTGCATTCAACTCCATCGTATTGTCCAATACGTCGCATATCACACCGTACAATTTGTCGTAGTTTCCTACTTCCTTAATCATGAATATTGTGTTATTGATCACGGTATAGTTCTCATTGCACCTCTGGGCTGTGTGTGCTACTCCTCCTATTTTGGTGTCAATTGCAAACTGCTTGACCAGTCTGGTTCCTTTGAACGTGTTTGTCTCCTCTGGCTCGTACTTGAATCCGTATATTTCACCCATTTTGGTAACACACGTAAATAGCACATCGTGGTTGTCTACGACCGTATAGACGCATTGGATGTCTCTGATTGCGTTTGTTGTAGCCAACTCACTCAGTTTCAGTGGGTTATCTGGTCTCATGAAGTGCAGTTGCATTCCATTGAACATGTCTCCAAGCAGTACCAAATTCCTAAGCACCTGAATTGATACCGTCGATATTCCAACCTCCATTCTTCCTACTGCCGTAAACTCGTCGTAACTCACCTCGTAGACCATTAGTCGTGTTCCTACTCCTACACAAACCAGAATGTCATTCAAAGTGTGCTTCTCCTTGTGAATCTGCTTGTAGAAGATGTCGATGCTGTGTGTGGCATATTTTGTTATTTCATGCGTAATGTACTTGAGTTTGATATTTTTACCAGGCTCATTCTTGTTGGATACGATCGAAACAATTTGGTACAGAATCAGGCGACTCTTGGCCACACGGTCTTCCGTCTCAACAGATGTCACCGCAACCAGTACAAAATGCTCCAGAATGATCTTCGTATCTACCACATACTCGTTCTCGTCAAGTGGAACGGATTCAATGAATTGTCTGTTCTGGTTGTACAGGATCAGGCTGAATCGAAGTGTGCTTCCCATCACTGCTGTTCTGTTGTCCTCGATGTACGGGTTGATTCGTTCTGTCACCGTCTTGTTGTCATCTGTTTGTCTGTGTACAACTGGCACAACTGGTACGTTTCTATAGCAATCTCGTGCTACTCCTACTCCAATAATGTAGTTGAATCCAATAACACAATTGACCAGGTTTAGCTGCCTACTGTATTTGGCTCCTACAAACTTCTTCTTTGCTACTTCAGATGAATTGGCTTCTTCTATTCCCCTGTATCTGAATTTTGGTACTGTTTTCACTTCCATGTCACAGAGTCTCTCGTATTGGATCTTATTCTCATTAGTTGCACCAAGCCTATTTCTCACCGTGTAGAACACTTCTTCCTTAACCTGAATAATTTTATCATAGGGCATTCTTGATTTTGTATAAATTATCTCATTTTCCACAAAGATGAAGTATGGCACAATTGACTTGGTGTAGATGAATCTGTTGCACTTGAACATGTATGTTTGGTCTGTCTTGATCGTATTCTGGAAGTAGATCAACTCTTCCACAAACTGCTTCTCCAAGTATTCGCCATTCAGCCTATAAATGTATAGGAATCCATCCACCACCAGAAACACGTTCAGAGTCTCCTTGTACTTCTTCAACAGAATCTGCTCTATTTCAATGCTACTTCTTGCTGCCTTTTCATCTGTCTTGATCATACTATTCATGTCCTCTATCCAAATTATGAATACCACCCTGTTACTTTTTGATAGTTTTATCCTGTTGCTTTCTGCCTCAATTTCGTATTCGCCTTCTGAATCAAACAAGTTGCCTGATTTGGTTTCATTTCCCCTGAATTTCTTATCTGTCTGATTGCCATCGTATAGCACCCATTGATTTCTACTGTAATAGTACAACTCACCATCATCCTCCTTAATATCACTACATTCAGTATGATACGGTATGTGATTGTCTAATTTTATAGATTTCTCATGAACTAATCCAACATCTTCCGTGTAGTAGATCAGTCGATTTGGTCTGATTTCAATCGTATGCAGGTTGCCCAGGTGCCGTAGCTCACTTCTTACTCCATTTGATACTCCTACGAGATAATCCTTTTTACAGGCAATGACATATCCTGTCTTACAGTATGCTACTGCTGTTGGCTCAGGTCTCTTTTCAATGAATTTCAACTCCACATTTCTGATTATATTCACGTCTATATCAATGATTAGTCTGTACGTGTCTCCATTTCCATTAATCAGTAGTATTTCATCAGCAGTTTGAACACACTTGATACTCTCAAAAATCACCTTGAATTCTGAGAATTCTGCCGTATAATGAGTGATATCTTTCTTGGTGCTGTTTTCACCAAGCAGTTTCACTTCAATCCTCTTCTTCTTTCCACTAGAACAACAATCTGGTTCAGTTTTGCTTTCAAATCTGGCATCATTGTAAAACAAGTTGCATAGCCTGTATAGAAACCTATTGCTTTTATAGATCACTTCCAGACCATGCCTGTAAATGACTACAATGCATTTATCAAGTGATTCAATCAATATTGGAACTGCTAGCAGCTCATATTCCTCCAAAAGTGTCATTTTCCCATCAATATTGAGTAGCTGGAGTCTCGTATTCTTGCACATCAATATTGTTGATGGATAGAACCGTACTTGCTTGATTATGTCACCTGTGATGGTGTTGACTGCGATCTGCTTCTTTCGTAGCTTGAAATGTGCAACTGTCTTTTTGTTTGTCACAATGCATAAACCATCATAGCATTCGATACTGAAAAAAGGCTCATTCAGCTCCCTAAGAGCAATTGACTCAAATTGCAGGCTGCATTGTATGATCTTATTGCCCAATAGCACCACCAGCATCTCCCCATCCATTGATATGTCTGTGATTCTGTCGTAGAAGTGCTTCTGCCTAAGAAAGACAAAGCCAACGGTGTATATCTTGATCATGTAGTCATATTTAATTACTATGACGTCTTGGTTCATCAGTAGCCTGGTGGTGTTGTTTTCAAACTGTTTCGTTCTCAGAAGGTAGCCCATGGGGTGGAAAAGTTGAGCGCATTTTGCTCAAATAAGCTTACATGGCCACCTGTTTAGATAGGGGTTTCGCATAATCGATGATCGCATAGCTCAATGGTAGAGCAACGGTCTTCGGAACCGGAGGTTTGTGGGTTCGAATCCCATTGCGATTGCTTTTATTTTAAAACTCAGTCAACAAACAATGGACACACTCTACGCAGAACAGATTGAACTGATTCTGACACGTCCTCGTGGCATCAAGGCACTTCTGTTTGACACTGAGGCCACTAAGCAAATCGTAAGCAACTCAGTCGCCTACAAGAAGCTGTTGGACTCCAATTACTTCTACTTCGACTACCTGACAAACAGTAAGCGCAGTAAAATCAATATCAACGCAGTTGTGATGCTCAGCAACACGAATCTGAAGCTTCTGATCAACGAACTGGTCGATCCATGTTACAGCTCCTACACAATTCTATTCAAAAATGCAATTGATCCATTTGCCTTGGAAATTCTAGCCAGTGCTGACAGAAATGGCGTAGTTGCAGAGGTGTTTGAACTGAATATGACTGCTGTTAAGGTGGATGAGTACCTGTATACGGTTGAATTAGAGGAGTTTTCTGCTGTTTTGGATACACTTGATGTTCAACCTAGTGTTTATGCAATGCGTACATTTGACTGTAGCAGTTTCAAGAACACAACTCACGATAAGCCAGGAAAGGTGCTTCTTCTGGACAGGAACTTCGATCTGATCACACCACTGATCAGTGATTGGTGCTATCAGGGTGCAATAAGCCAGTATATGCCATACAACAACAGTCAGGTCACTGTCGATAAGAAGTCATTTGCATTAAATGACGACTTTTTTCAGACGAACAAATTCAATGACATTGAGAAAGTGGGAGAGAATATCAGACTGCTTGTGAAGGAGCTTGAAAAGAAGAGGTACAACATCAGCAACTATCAGTTTGATGATATCGAGGGTGCTACGGTTCAATCCAAAGTTGTGGATACGCATATGGCTCTCTTCAAGAAGGTGCTTGATGCATCCATGAGAAACCACGAACTGGGTGAAAGTGAAATCAAGGCCACTAAGGGCGAATCCATCGATTACTCGATTTTCCAAGACAAATCAAGGGATTTCATGAAGTTGAAGCTGTTGGAATCAATCAAGAGCGGATCCAGGGTAGATGGAATGGATAAAGACACGTATGAAGCATTTCTAAAAATATCCAATCCAATACCATTTGGATACAAGCCATCATTTGCTGATAAACCTGAGCTACTTGCATATGAATCACCAATCAAGAGGATTCTACGTCACTTTGTGCGTCACAAGTTGCATTCAGGCTCTTTCATCAAGATTGAATCAAATAGTAAGGATCATAATGATAAAATGCATATAATTTATGTAAGAGGAGGTTTGACCTATCGAGAATACAGGGACGTGATGGAACAAGCAAGTGAATTGGATACGATGGTGTACCTTTTCACTGATAAAATCATCAACTGTGCCACGGTGATGCAGGAGATCGAATCAGAAGCAAAACAGAATAAAAAGTAGCCAAAATCCACAACTTTTTATCCTCATGCCAACAGCACAGTTTGAAATAGAATGCGACTATGCAGAAATGGTGGTGAAAGCAGCAACATTTGAAGACAGGGAGAATGTGACCTATAGCGTAGTGGATGGCAACAAAATAGTGCTGCAATTCAAGGCCAAGACAGTCAAGAGCCTGATCAAGGCGACCTATTCCGTCTGTAACAAGATACAGCTCTCAATGGAAACAGTTGAAAAATTCAAACCAAAAAAATCTGAATAAATTTGTCCATTTTATGCATGGAATTCTGAAGGAAGTTTTACAAAAGATCAAAAATGTGGCATTTGAGAAGGAGAAAGTGCGAATAGGAGCAAAGCAATACGAGTATTCGATTGAGGTGGAATTTAAGACAGTGCAGAAGAAATACACGCTTGGAGCAGTCTTGTTCTACATCACTGACTTGAATTTGAAACACATTGATTATATCACAAAGTGTTCAGAGAAGCAGGTGAAGCCAATTGGACTTCAGGACAAGGCAAAGGTGTTGGAAGAGATCAGGATGTTCAAAAATGCGAAGACACCAGGGCATTTTGAAAGAGTAACGTATTCTTTGAATAGGCAGTATCAGATACCAGTGATAGCAGAAGAAAACTACATTTTGATTGGAAATGACCCATTGGGGGAGTTGAACTTCGCTAATTTGCAGCTGTTTCTGACAGAAGGGCGAATCACAGCTGAGAAGCAGTCGTCTTTGCTCTCCCAGAGCACGTCATTTGAAAAAGAAGGCATCAAATTCAAAATATTCAACGATTTCAGCAAATTCACCAAAAAGCAGTGGGCTATGGTTCGAGTTGTCTGTGTAGACGGTTTGTTGACTGATTTGAAGAGAAACTGCCCTGATTTCAGTGCACTGCGAGAAGCAGCCCTTTTCATTGGAATGGACAAGAAAGACCTGAAAAAGTGCAAGGAGAGTGGAGTGGATCCAATGGAACCGGTGATCAAGGACGGGTTTGTATTCAATCACGGTGTCATTTGGGATCGGATTCAGAAGGTGGTTGACTGATCAGTGTTTCTAATAATAAAACTGTTTGAAAAATGGGTGTTTCTGATTTATATGGCAGAACAAGATAATTCAGAAGAGAAACAGGGCATCTTTTCTACAGCTAAATCACACATTATATCCGTAATAACACTGAATCCAATTGATCTGGCCCAGAAACCAATCAACCTGACCCATTACTTGCTGGTTGTGGTTCTCTATTCAATTGCCATATTTACAAGCTACTTGATCACCCTATTGATCAAATTGAAGCTGTTGAAGGCGGTTACGCACATTCTACTGCCAACGTATCCACTAATTGGGTGTTTTACTATCATTGCATTGTCATTTATGGGCGGATACATCTACAGCATCTTCCTAAACAATCACTCGTTGAAAAACTACTATTTGGTGCTATTGGCTTCAGGCTACCTGCCATTTGTGATGATTCTGAGCACGTTAATCAAGGATCTCGCAATTGTATTCTACATTTGTGCTGGAATAGCATCAGATTACTTTCTAAGAAGGAGTCTCATGTATGGGAAATCATTTGAGCGTAGATTGGATCGGATTTATTTCGTGACCATTTCAATGTTGATGAATGTTGGAGCATATTGGGCGATATTCCCAATATTCTTCATGTGATAAATGATAGAGAATTACTGATTTAATTAGTTGATCTTCTTTTGTCTTGGATTTTCAATGCCATTCCAATAGGCCATGAGACGTACATTTCATTTAAATCATCCAGTACCTTAATATTTGAATCTGTTGAAATATTCAACTGACTGATTATATTGAGTATGAATGCATAATCCTTACATTTTGCACTATTAGATTCTTCTTTTACATTACATTCTGCTTCAATATTGCTCTGAACATCTCTAATAGTTTTTGATTTGTATTGTTTCAGTAAATCAGCGAACGCACTGAAGACGTACAGGTTGTTTACGTGTTTTGGCTTTGATAATTTTGGTAAATTAATGCTCTTTTTAGACTGAATTCCTGTTTCAAACTGTTTGATCGTGATGTGATTGTGGTTCTTTACAACAACTTGTGTTGAATTCCCACCCATATCAACCAGTGTGTAATCATTTAGATATTTTAGGTGCTCAAATGCGTCGTATAATCCGATTGCCTCTTCAGGTCCAGTCAGTATTCTACAATCAACCAAATTGTACTTTTTCAGGAACGTTTTGATCTTTTTTAATAGATCTTTTCCGTTTGAATCTTGTCTCATTCCAGCAGTGCCATAGAATCCCAGTGGAATCTTCTCGTCTAATTTTGTGGTCAAAGAACTTAGCACTTCTTCGTATGCTTCTTCACTGATTGCTTTTGGGTGTTTGTATTGTTTACACAGTTCTATTTTTGATTTATCAAAACTGTAAAGATTCAATCTCGTACCTGTTGATCCTGCATCAATTATGGCAACAGTATTTAAATCTAGACACGCAACAAGTGGGAACAGCATTGTTTCACAGGTAAAACATTTTTAGAGAAGCTGCAACTGATCTTTGAAAACTGTTTAGGATTGTACAAAAACGAGTACCATTGCTGAAATATGCATTTTCAATGGATAATTCATGTTGTATGAGGTAAATGGCATTTTGGTTATAATTTTCATGTGTCAACATGCATTTAGCAATCATTATTGCTTTCGTTTTAGAATTGCCCCCAATGAATACTGTGAAGGAATACAGTTTGAAAATAGAGAAAGCAGTGAAAGAATACACAGAAAAAGAGTGCCTAGAAAAGACAAGGCAGATATTGGCTGTTCTAAACCAGAGGAGATCTCTTCTTAATCTTATGTTCTTGAAATTTATTTGCATAAGAATAAAAAGAGAAACTATTCTAAACACATTCAACGAAATGAATGGATTCAGGGTGCTTGAGAAGACATTCACATCAACCAACTGTGATTATTTGAGCACCCTGTTTGACATCTTCGTTGTATTGAAACCAAATAGACCAGTATCAATTGAGGCACTTGAAAACTACGATGCATTTGATAAGCAGTTGTTCTTCAAGTATCTCAATGGATGTCAGGGACTACATGCACTATTTGATAACCTGTCTGCCAATATGACATATTTGCAGTATTTTATATCAGATGCATTGACCTGGGATGAAATTGATGATGAATTGAACTTCATCTTCAAGTTGGAGCATGAACCACAGATGCAACAGATCAAAATCAACATATACAAACACAAAGAGAAGTTCAAATGTGATATAACGTACAAAAGACTGCTAGAAATATTGAGCAAATCATTTAGAAAAAACATGATCAATATTGATGCAGAATGTATAGAAGAGTATAAGAATACAATAGAGAAGTATAAAAGTGGATTAGAAGATAGCAATGCCAAGTATTTGATATTGGAAAGCAAATTCAAGGAACTACAGCTAAGTATAGAAAATAAGGCATTTGATAAAACAAGTGAAATTAAGGCAGTTAAAGACGTTGTAGAAATAAAAGAACCTGAACCCAAGGTAGAGTCTGCTGCTAAAACAGAATTCAAACGGGTTGAAGCTGTAAAAGAAGAGGTAAAAATAGCAAAAGAAAGAATCAAAGAACAAGAACCCAAAACAACAATTGAAGAAAAAACAGTAGTTGAACAGAAACCAGTAGAAATCCCACTATCAAAAGAAGAAACTGTTGTTCAAAATATAGCAGAATCCACCATTCAAAAGACGGTGGAACTTGATCAACAAGAAACTAAACCTAAAAAACCAAAGAAGTTCTCTTTTGGAAAAGCATCCAAGGCAGTCTCTATGTTAGATACTAAACAGGTGTATTGTGGACTAAGATGGTCCAAAATGCCTAAGGGAAAAAGGACAATCTTCACTAACATCAATATACTAGAAAATGAGAAGCATTTCAAATTGGAGGAATTCAAGGTATTCGAGAAGAAAGTTGTTCCAAAAGAAAAGAAGGCAGCTGAAGCCACAAAAGGATCAGACCTGATTTGTTGTATGGATCTAAAGAAGAGCAATGCGATATCAATAGCGTTGAGTGTGATCAAATTGACATATGAAGAATTAAGAGATCAAATTCTAAAACTGGAATGTGAAAACGAGGTGTTGATAAAGCAACTGTGCCACTACATGTGCACTACTGAAGAATTCGAAAAGATCAAGAAAACAGATCCAAAAAAGATGCCAAATGCTGATCGATTTTTCTACATCATCGAAGACCTTGAGGAGTTTAAAGAAGCCGTGGCATCACAGATGTTTCTGCACCTCTACAAAGCAAAGAACTACACGAATATCTTTGAACTGACTATAAAAACGTACAAGAGGATTCTAGAAAGCCAAAGTCTCAAGGAGCTGTTTGGTAGATTGCTTGTGATCGGCAACCAGCTCAATAGAAATGGATTTGGTGGAAAAGCAGAAGGCTTCACATTTGATTCATTGAGCAAATTCCATACAACTCAAATTAGGAACCTGATCAAACCAAAAATTGATTTGGTCAAATTGAAGGAAGAACTGGGTGAAATAGCACATCACGAAGCAGTTGATGCACTGATCAATGAATTCGGTGAGGTAAAAAGCGCATACGTCAAGAACACCGTTGATGAAGAGGAATACAGTCGTGGATGTGAATTGTTCTCAGAAATGAAGGAGTTGCAGCAGAAAGTCATTGCATTCTTTGGTCTTGAGACTGATGACAAACTCATGGAAGAGCTGCTTGGATTCGTGGAGTACTTTCTGTGACACGTTTGAATTAATTGATACAATAACAAATACCTGTTCATTTTGGCCCCTTGATGCCACTATCCACTGAAATAATGGAACGAAAATATAGGGAATTTAGCCAGGATAAGAGCGGGACAGCCAAAGAGAGACTTGGTGCACTTGGATTCGTCTACAGTGGGAAGGATGTGACCATTCAGTCATACGAGGAGTTCACTAAGGCATTGGAGGAATGCGACTACATGGACGAGCAGAAGCTGGTAAAATACTACGGGGAGTATCTGACATACAGTGACATTTCGCACATTCTGAAAATTGGAACAAATGGCCTATGCGACAATGAGATTGCAGAGACATTCAAAATCATCCCATGTACGCCAACACAGCCCATTTCAGTACGTGAATTCATCAAGCTCCTATATGAATGAGAAGGAGTAAAACACGTTACAAAATTATTTGGTTTGTTTATTTTGTTTTATGCTATTTGGTAGGAAGGCAGAGGAGACCATGGAACCAATTGACGCAGACCAAGGTGTCGTAGAGGACAAGATGGACTATCCTGAGGCAGATTCACGATTCAAGCAGACTGCACTGAAATATTTCACCAGACTCAAGGAGCACAACACACGCATCTTCACATTCATTGGAGACAGGCTAAGCAGCCTCATTTCGAACATTAAGAGCAGATTTGAGACCAAGAATGAGACAATCGTCACCATTTGAGTCTATGAAAATAGTAAACTAAATCACCCCATGAAACTGGTACAGAATTTCAAGAAAGCAATTAACATCCTCAGATTCCTTCTTAGCACACACAGCAACATTGGTTTCATATTGTTCATCATTGGAGTTGAATTGGTCTACGTGTTCGTAGGCAGAATACTCGAGAATGTTCGAGATGAATTTCTATCAAAAAAGACAGAAAGATGGTTTGTATATTTTATAATGCCATTGGCCTGTAACGAGGCCATGTTGATTCTGATTGAGCTGATTGTTGAGTTGTTCATCCACAGCATCAGAAACAGTGTTTACAGGGAGATCATAAAATGTATAATTTATTCGGATAAAAACGAGAACATCCACCATTTCAGAGTCCAATCGAATGCTACGCTCGAATTCATTCGAAACAGATTCAAAATAGGCATACTAATGGGACAGTACGTGAGCATATTCAGACTAATCAGACACAAATGGATATTTGGAGCACTTTTGGGCGTATATTGGTGCATAAGTGTCCTATTCGTTTTATGTAGAGTCCATTTCAGAAAGAAGAAGGTGGAAGCAAATGCGAGTCAAGTTCAACACCTGCAGGAGGCATTGAGACTCAGAAACATCCTGACAATTCACAATTCAAGGGAATTCATCTCCAAAAAGTATCTCGATTTGCCTGAATACGATCATCAACTTATTCTTGTGACTGAATTCCACACTCTTTTCAACAGATTAATGATTTATTCTGCTGAAATATTAAGGGCATTTAGAAGAATGAATATTGATCAGAATACTGCAACAATTGATACAATATGCGACAACGTGGGATTCTTCATCTGTTGTGGAATACTGGGAACAGTTGTTAGTGATGCAGTAAGTGATTTCAGACTCATTCCAACTGAATTCAATAGCAAAAGTCGTCTATCAAATCAGGTCAAATCAGCCAAAATTGACGTAGATGAACAGTACAACAATGAGGTGGCAGTGCTATCAACTGAGACACTTCTAAATGACAAATCAATAGCGTACAATTTGAACAACAATGGAAACGTCTCTTGTAAGAAGCAGTTCAGAAAGCAGCTCGCTACTCACGGATTTTCTGGCCTATTTTGTGAAATTCTAGGCCTGAAATCAATTGATGAAATATACAGGATGAAACCAGAGCGACTGAGTTACGGCCAGAGAAAGACAGTGGCCATATTCAGAACACTCCTAACAAAGGCAAAAGTGTACATTTTGCATAGGCCATTTACGGGAATAGACCCAAAATACCACCTGAGACTCACCAATGTCTTTGATAACTACAACTCTGTCATCACTGAGTAGTGAATGTGTTGTATATCATGTAGTTGGATGCGAATATCCAAATGTATCTGTACCATTTCAGCTGAGACTCGTGATGATTCATGTTTGATAACCCAGTCTGCATACTCAAATTAACAAAATTAGGTATTGAAAAATAAATCAGATACTTTTCAAGAAGTGAGACTGATTTCAGGTAGAAGAAGGAGACTCCTTTGGTGTTCAGTGACTTCTGGACGTGTTTAGCAGCCAGGTAGCAATGTACGTGATTCTTATGGCCACTCACGCCCTTTCCATCAAATGTAATGATGGTGCATCCTCCACTACTACACTCTTTTATTGTTTCCAGTAGCAATAGCGATATTCTCCTGACATCCCACGCATCTCCATCCACGAAGTCACCAAATACCACTTTCAATCCCCTCTCTTTACACAGACTCCTCAATTCCTGTTCTCTTTTTACCTGATAAACACAGAATAACTGGCTTATGGTGACTCAAAAATGGCGTAAAGAACATCGATTCATCATCTGGATGTGCTATGAGCAATACTGAACTCCTATTAATTCGTATTTCCTTATGAAATAACACTGCTGTATATCGTATAACACATAAAACCATTATAAATACCCCTATCATTCCCTAAGGGTCTTTTTAATGAATTTTTCCTTATCCTTTTGCGTCAACTTGACCTGCTTCAGCCCTGTTACTCTTTCCAAATTACTTCCCCTCTCACAATCCACCACCACTCTCCTTCTTGAGCCCAGAAACCTGATCAACCACGTCAATCTGCTTCCACCAGAATATATGCATTCTGGACTATACCTCAATCCCACCACGTAGTCGCACTTCTCATCCCCATAGCTCAGAATGCACCTGTTGTTTGTTGTTGCTCCCTCTGGAAACAGCAGTGTCCCCCGTACGTCACAGCTGCTCCTGATAATCTCTTCATCGAATTCCCCTACACTATTTGCGTATATCTTCTTGTAGAGTGGAATCCTCCTCTTTTCTTCTACTGTTATTATTCTTCGTACTGAAACCAGTCCCAGCCTATACAGAATGTAGACTGGTAGCACAACCAATGCCCTAATCAGCACCCCCATTCCAATTCTGACACACCTTGGTCTCAGAAATGGGTTTATTCCCGTATATGGATCATTAAATTCACTATACTTTTCCATAGGTCATTACTACCAAATATTTATTGATGTTCACAGACTGATGATGTGCTTGTACTCGTCCTCAAGCAATGCCATGTCCTCTCTTGCTTCGCTAAACTCGCCTTCTTCCATTCCCTCACCCACGTACCAGTGGACGAATGCCCTTCTTCCAAACATCAAATCGAACTTGTTGTTGAGCCTGGACCACGCCTCTGCAATTGCGGTGGTGTTTGAGAGGGCGCAAACAGCCCTGCTCACCCCAGCCATTGGCGAATCAGGCAGAACAGTCGGCTTCTTCTGGTTCAGACCAATTTTGAATCCAGTTGGGCACCACTCCACGAAATGAGAGGCCTTTTTGGTTCTGACCTCAGCCGTGGCCTGATTTGCCTCCTTCGTCGTCACGTCTCCCCTGAACAGCATGCAGCATGCGATGTACTTCCCCCTCTTCGTGTCGCACTTCACCATTTGGGTGTGCGACTCGAAGCAGTTGAACGTGAGGTCTCTGACGCTGAGTCGCTCGTGGCCTGCCTTGTTTGCCGCAATCATCGGACTGTACGAAATCAGCGGAAAGTGGATTCGTGGGAATGGAACCAAATTCGTCTGAAACTCGGTCAGGTCCACGTTCAGCTCGCCCTGGAATCGGAGCGAGGCCGTGATGCTCGAGACAACCTGCGCCACAACGTGGTTGATGTGGGCGTATTGCGGCCTCTCGATCCCAAGGCGCTTGCAGATGTCGTAGATGGCCTCGTTGTCGACCATGAACGAGCAGTCGGAGTGCTCCATCGTCGCATGGGTGGTCAGAATCGAGTTGTACGGCTCCACCACCGCAGATGCTATTTTTGGTGCTGGATAAACAGAGAACTCCAATTTCGACTTCTTTCCGAACTCCTTGGAGAGCTCGGCCATCAGCAGTGCCCCGAAACCAGATCCAGTTCCGCCTCCGAAGGAGTGGAAGATCAGGAAGCCCTGGAGCCCGTTGCACTGGTCCACGATCTTTCGAATGGCGTTGAGAGCGGGCTCAAGCATCTCCTGCCCAGCCGTGTAGTGGCCACGGGCGTAGTTGTTGGCCGCGTCCTCCTTCCCAGCAATCAGCGAGTCGGGGTGGAACAGCTGGGCGTATTCGCCTCTTTCTACTTCTGCCACAACCCCTGGTTCCAAGTCGACCATAACCGATCTAGGAACAAACTTGTTTGCTGACGTCCTGTAGAAGAAGGACTGGCAGCTCTCGTCGTCGACAAATGATTCAGAAGGTGTTCCATCTGGGTTGATTCCGTGTTCTCTGCAGTACAGCTCCCAGCAGGCATTTCCAATTTGGATTCCAGCTTGACCAATGTGGATTGAAACAATTTCTCTCATTGGGGTGAAAAATATTCACACTAATTATTCACCGTAATGAGTAGGCTGATATCCACTATAAATATAATATGGGTGAAATAGGGTAGAATAGGGTAGAATGGAATGAAATGGTGAAATGGATTATTGTGGTATAATAAGTGATATTTTTCACCCTATTATGACAGCAATTACCAGAATGAACTATGTGGGACCAATCAGAGGGTACGTGGAGGAGTTCGGTGTAAAGCTAGTCGACCTGGAGGCGTATTTCAGCAGGGTCGAGAGTGGGCTGGCCGTGGGGATGACAGAGAGGGAGATGGCCTGGTACTGCAGCGAGGTCGCAGCATCGATGATCACTCTCAGCCCAAACTACAACAAACTTGCATCAGTGATTCTGGTGAAATATTTGCACCAGATAACCAGAGGAAACCTGAGTGAAAAATTTGAGAAAATACAGCAGGAAAAGGGAATTCTGAATGAGTCGATATATTCAATGGTGATGGAGAAGAGGGAGGCGTATGACTCAATGGTCGACTACGGCAGAGACTACAACTTCGACTACTTCGGACTGGTCTCACTGATCAAGTCGTATTTGATCAAGGTGAATGGCGAGACAGTCGAGAGCCCACAGGACATGTACATGCGTGTGGCAATACAGATACACAGAGACAACCACCAGATGGTAGAGGAGACGTACAGGCTCATCAGTTCACAGCACTATACGCATGCTACCCCAACTCTCTACAATTCGTGCTTCAAAAAGAACCAGTTGGCTTCCTGCTTTCTGGTGGCAATGAAAGAGGACACGATTCTGGGGATATTCGAGACAATCAAGGAGTCTGCGATCTACAGCAAGCTGTCAGGCGGAATTGGAATCCATTTGAGCAACCTACGAAGCAACAACAGTCCACTTGTGACGACTGGTGGCGTATCAAAGGGAATTATTCCAATAATCAAATTGATCAATGATTCCATGAAGTACATCAATCAGGGTGGGGCACGCAGGTGCGCTACAGCCGCATTCTATTTGGAACCGTGGCACAAGGACATTCAGGGGTTTCTGGATTTGAGGAAGAATACGGGGACTGAGGAGTATCGAGCTAGAGACTCCTTTACTGCCCTATGGGTTGGAGACCTGTTCATGGAGAGAGTCGAGAAGGGGGAGATGTGGTCGCTCTTTGATCCAAATGTCGCAAAGGGGCTTGACAACGTCTATGGTGATGAATTCAGGCAGCTATACGAGCATTATGAGAAAACAGTAGACAGGGACGTCATTCCAGCCCAGAAGCTGTGGAAAGAGATTCTATGTGCCCAGATTGAGACAGGAACTCCCTACATGGTCTACAAGGACTCCTGTAACAGGAATTGTAACCAGAATAACATGGGAACAATTAAGACATCTAATTTATGTGCAGAAATAGTGGAGTATACAGACTCAGAGATAACTGCTGTATGCAATTTGGCTTCAATCTGCCTACCAAAATACGTCAAGGCGTCTTCTGGTGGCGTGAAGTACTTCGACTTCAATTTGCTGCGACAAGTTGTTAAGAAGGTGGTGGTGAACATGGATACGATGATTGACACGTTTGAGTTTCCAACAAATGAAGCACAGGCATCAAACAACAAGACTAGGCCACTTGGAATTGGCGTACAGGGACTGGCAGACACGTTCATGATGATGAGATACGCATTTGAGTCAGAAGAGGCAGTCAAACTGAACAAGATGATATTCGAGACAATCTATTACGCTGCAATGGAGACATCGTGTGAGCTAGCACAGGTAAAGGGCGTCTATCCGTGTTTTAATGGATCAATGTATTCAAAAGGAATATTCCATTTTGAGGTTTACGCAAATGGTAGGCGAAATGTGGGGGAACTGGTTTCAGGCATGTGGGACTGGGAAGGATTGCGTGCCAAAATAAGGCAGTTTGGAGTCAGAAACTCACTAACTACCGCCTGTATGCCAACAGCAGGCACAGCACAGGTGGCTGGAAACAGCGAGTGCATTGAGCCAATTCAGTCGAACATCTTCACCAGGAGGACATTTGCAGGAGAATTCCAAATTGTGAACAAGTTTCTGGTTGAAGACCTGAAGAGGCTGAATTTGTGGTCGAATGAGATGAGGCAGCTGATCATCGAATACGACGGGTCCATTCAGCATATTCCAGTGATTCCAGACAACATTAAGCAGATTTACAAGACATTCTGGGAGATGAAAATGAAGAACGTGTTGAGCATGGCGAATGACAGGCAGGCATTTATTGATCAGTCACAGTCACTGAATCTGTTTGTGAAGCAGCCTACGTACGGCGTATTGAGCTCAATGCACTTTTATGGATGGAAGTTGGGATTGAAGACAGGAATGTACTATCTGAGGACATGTCCAGTTGCAAGTGCAATTAAGTTCACGGTTAACAAGGAACTGATCATTAAGACACTCAGCTCAATGAAGAATCAGCAAACGGAAGACGATGAAAATGAAGAACCAAAGTGTGAAGTATGTTCATGCTAGGGAATTAATAAACAGGTTTGCTGCAAAATATGGTATTCTACTAGTATTTATATGAATAGAGATGATTTAGTATCTATATTTGGCATAATTCAGGTATGGTTGCGAAGCCCTCATTTCCAATACGGCTTCTGATTAGTCGTCCTTAGGTTTTGACTCCTCGGCCTGTGGCTCAGGAGTCTCTACCGGGGCTTCACTTTGCGGTTCATCTCGTGCCTCAGCTGATGAGTGCCCATCGTTCAATCTTCTTTAGCTCGGTTATTTAACGACATTATGTCTGTGGTAAAAATTCAGGAAGTTGAGTAGATATTCAACTGATATTGGAGAAATAATCAAAATATTTTAGATAAATCTGGACAGTTTAATGGAATAGAGGGGTGTTGGGGTATTTGGGGATGTGATCAATATGTTCAACATGTTTGTATCACCTGCGTTTGTATCTTGTTTTCTTCATTTCGTGTTAGCATCAGCACACAAGGCGCCTTATTTCGCCTATGAATGGTAACACGAACTGGTTTTGTACCACATTTCTTAATCGCCTTTGTGATGTAATATTTGATCTTCTTTTTTGTTCTTTCTGACATACTTTTCTTAGGAGGAGTCACTGGCTCATTTGACATGCCGGGATTCACCCTGTCCTCGGTTTTGGCCAGCTCTCTCACCTGAATGTATTTCGTAAGTTCAGATACTGTTTCATATGCTTTCACGTGCATCAGCCTGTTTCTCTCTGATTCTGCAGTACACTCTTTCAGCAGCATGTTCTTCCTATCAATATCTGCTTTTAGTTCATCATGAGCAACAAATACCGTTCTGAGACTCTTTTTGGTCTCTTCAAGGTTCTGTTCGAGATCTTTGAGTTGAGCTCTGCTACTTATGAGATCATAGAGTATAGTATTGCTTTCAGTAAAAACCTGTTCTATCTCCTGAACCTGATCAATACTTTGATTCTGCTTTAGCTGTTCTACGATCTCAGTTGTTTCTGGATCCTTCTGCTCCTCTTCTTCATGAACAATTTCCTTAGTAACCTGGGCCACCCCTGAACCCTGGTTTATCCCTCCATTTTCTAACACGTCATCTGTGTCATATTCCTCACTGTCATCATATGCATAATACTCGCTGTCCTCGGGTATGTCACGCATGTCTTCAGATGACGGTTCTTTCACAAACAACCTGGTCTCAGCAATCGGATCGGCCCATGTCACGATCTTGTTGTGCTTGCGCGGTGGTAGTTCCTTAACCATGGGTTATTTATTTTGAATTTATTTAAAGCAATAGTAAATAAACACTGTGCATAAAATAACATAACCCTGATTTAGAAGAATGAGTGAGAACAACAAAAATAGATGATACATATGTTATTGGAAAGAAGATGGTTGTGGAATGTGTTGATATAACTGAGTATGTTACATCTAACCTAGTAATGATATTGGATTATTGAAATTTGAGAAAACCGTTATGGTAATATTTGCATTATATACCGTGTTTGGTTAAGTGGATATAAAGAAGATGGATTAAAACTATGTGTTTACCCGATATACTTTACTGAATCATGACCTTCTTCAGATGTGAGAAAATAAGCAACACTGGGGTTGTGTTTGTAGTATTTTCCAAGATAGAAAAAAATGGTTTTTAAGGTAAAATTTTTCAGGGGTTAATTTTATCACGTATGTCTCACTACTGCCAGAATGTGCTGGAACCTGTGATGAACGGACCTGTTGCGGGTCTCGTGGAGTTCCTCAGAGTTAGAGGAGTGTTGAAGCGAGTGGTTGCATGTCCAACGTGCTCTGTTGACATGGTATGCAAGCCATACACCCGCAACAAAGATGGAATGGCGTTCAGGTGCTACAACCATGATTGTAGTGGATAATCATTAAGGTGTGCTGTAAATGGTTTAATAACAACACTCAAGTGCAGATCATGACCGAGGTGAACCTTAACAGGAAGGTCGTTATGAAAATAATTGACCGTCTGCGCACATTTT